GATCCATCGGTTCTGGCTTACAGTAAGCCGAGGTGCTCGCAGAGGTTGCCCTCGCAAAGCTTGGGTTGTACCCATTCCAACCAAGTCTGGCCGACTTGAAGTTGTGCTCAGCATTTTGAGCGATACTAACAGCTTCCTCAAAATCAGATGGTGGACTCAAAACACCTCGGTCCTGGCAACGCCATTACGAAGACCCCATGAAGACAGTCACACAGACTGTCTCAGGGAGAGGGTCAGACTGCATGGCAGCCATAAGAGCTCTCAACTCTTGGACATAGTCCGTTAGCTCATTCTTACCCCGCCAAGTCGAACGACGTGCCACACGTCAGAGCCGACTCTCTAGATCTTCCATCGAGCTTGGAGATAGTCTGCGAGACCCTCTGGTACTCCAGTGAGATAAGGCTAGAGCTCATGGCCATCTCAATCTCACGGATCCAGAGGGTCAGGTTTTCCCCCTCCTTCCCGGAGTAATTTTTAACGTCCACCTGAAGGGGACGAGGCTTAGCCTTTTCTGGTGGCATTGCCACGTACGTGTCGGCATAGCCGATGCTACCTGGTTTTGAACCTGCCCTAGAAGGGCCGTTTCATACTGCATGAAGGTCTCGACTCGTGTATTGAGCACATCGGGACCTTGTGCAGCTAGAAACTCCACATATACTGGGCATGCGACCGCATTCAGCTTATCAAGCGCGACCTTTTGGGCATCAGAAAGGGATGTGGATTGCTCCATCCTCACAGAGGTTCAGTCGTTACCGACTCAGGCGTAGATTGGCTACTAGTGCTACCAAGTGTAGCGGAGCTACACAGCTCCTTAAGTGTGAGGAAGACTTAACGCTCAATGAGCAACTTTGGTTCTACGAACACGACTCAAAGAGTCAACAGCTCCGAGAGCTAAGGTTTGGTTCAAAGAACCCTACTCAAAGAGTCAACAAGCTCAGAGATCTTACGGTCCCTGTTCCAGGTGGACCAAAAGAATCAAAAGAATCACAGCACTGAGTGCACAAGGAGTAGCTGCCTTAACAAGGCGTTGCTACTTCCTTACGATCGCAAGACGCCTCAGAGAGGCACGTGTCTTTTGTTGATCAAAATGGGAACTAAATTTTATTTCTTCTTTTAACCTAAAAGAACACCTTGGAACAAAGTAATTAACCTACTCGCTAATGTCCTAAATAAACTTATTAAAAGATCTCGTAATCAATGGTTGACAGACATCAGTCTTCAACAATTGATACTTGTGTTCGAATATTACTTGAAAGGGGATCCCATCCCTTGTGTGCACCACACCTATTGTCGACTACCAGTCGACGTGTAACCTCGTTACAGCACAAACCCATGGATAAACGAAAGGCCCAATGCAAGGACAGTGATTTCTATGAATCTGTTGTGGACGCGCCTTAACAAATCTCGGACAGAGCGACAGGGGTGATGCGCATGGGACCGGCGAAGGGACGTGCGTTTGAAATCTTGACACCGATCACAGCAATACAATATTTCATGCCAAATTGAGTCCACCGTCCCGCAGAATGCAGCGTCACCGGCATCATAATCTCTTTATATACGGCAGGAGGGTTTCTTGCAAGGATGTTTTGCTAGAGTTTTGGAAAATCACCGCTCCTGTCAAGTAATTTGTCCAGGTTTGATCCTTTATAACCAACCCAAGGTCCTTAAAAAGTGTGCAAAACACTGGATGCACTGATAACATCTTGGATACCTCGGCACCAGCTATTCAGGCCTCTCGAAGAAGCATAAAATCCCAACAACATCTTAAGAGTTTGGCTGTACGGTCTGGAAGGCAACCAGAGCAGCTGGTAAGCACCACTCGTCCCGTGGGACGATAGCCACGACCGGGAAGGGACGTGGCCAGCTACGAAGAGAGCAGTACCAGTTCGTTAGGAGAACGAAATGTATTGTCTGGTGTAACGGGCACACCCTTGCGTGAACTTACCGCAAGGGTTTTCGGTGCCCCGACAGACGTACACGTGGAACGCGAGGAAGCGTAGGTAGGGTAAAAGTAGAACTGTTATATTAATATAATTAAGCCTTTTAACTACTGTCTCTCTGTTTGACTTAGCTTAACTATACTAATATAACTGGGTGTATGGTGACGTCTCGCCACCACTCATTGCGCGCGTCTTGCGGCGATTGGTGGGTTGATATCATCACGATATCAACCAATGAACAGAACCCATTGGTCGCCTCACCAATATCACCATTATCGGTGATATTGCTCAAAGAATATCCAACTTCATATTCTTTATTGTCACTTTCCTTAAAGTGACAATTTCATGTAACGGGCTGCCCCGTTACATCTGGACTATAAAAAAAGGTTCTCCCGCTGCTTCGTACAGCTTCTTTCTAACCAAAGGAGACGCTGTCGATAGCCGGATGTCAACTCGCATCACAAAGCTCGTTTACTCTTCTGTATCTCGCGCGAAGATGGACATTGGTCCCTTCTTACCACCATGCTGCAGCACGCTTCTGCTGCTCAACCCCAGTTACCCCTGTAATAGCGACATCAAGCGGGAAACATGCATTCTTAAAGAATTTTATTATACTTAGGACGCGGACTCGGTGGCGCACTGAGAAAGTCGATCCATTGTGCAAGGACGCCTAATTCGCACCAACGCCTCCGGAGAAGCGATGCGCACAGCAACACCGTCATGGTCCAGAGGATTAGAAATTGATGTGTATTTGCATGGGATTGGTCAACAGGTTCACCAAAGACTTGCCACCGATCAAGTCGGCTGATGGCTTACTGTCCCCAGCGAAAGTGTTATGATACGTATTATGTCGACAATAAAAGATGCCTACCTCTTTTTCGTTTCGAGTTGCAAGTGCACCGTCGTCCACGCATCGTACACCAGTGCGCATTCGAAGAGCCACGACCGTAGGGCCTTGGAATCGTGGGCCTGTATTAAGGTCAGATAGGAGCGATCCATCAGGGGATCAAGAATGCAAGTAAAATCAATCAAGGGTAGAAGGGGCGCGGGGATCGTTGTCAGAACAAGGCCGAGTTCTGTGAACAGAGTTTCTCGGTCCCACGCACAGGACCGGGGGTAGCAGGTACCGATAATGTACATTGCTTCATGAAGATCAATAGTTCTACCATCTTATACGGGTCCATTCGCCCTCCCGACACGGCCACAGATTATTTACAGAGCTATATGGGAGAACAAAAATACCAACACTACCATTTCTTCTAGCGTTATGTACTGAACAGAGCTCAATGCGCTCAGCCTCATTAATTTTCCAACCTCGCTAGCCCACACAAGCGTAAATGATCCGATCCCACGACGTCACAATCACTTTGGGCGACACAAGTCTCTTGCACACAAACTAAGTACGTATCGCCATCCTCTTGGCGTTCGCATATGTGGGAAACCGAGCAGGTGTACTCTATCGCACCAAGGAGGTTTGACAAAGGTTGAAGAATTACTTCAATTGGTGCTCGTCAATGTGATGGGCGAAACGAAATTTGGACATCGTGGACAATAGGAGTGACACAGCTTCGGGCACGATGGCGTGAAGCATCGTAAATGCATAGCACATCTACCCCGTCCAAATGAAATAGCGCAAGACGCATCTCACGCATCGCCCTAATAATGTATATTGGATGTGGAATTCGCCCGGCCACGAACGTACTCAAGCAACTGCTGAAGGGTTGCTCGATGATGTCGTATCGATAATGTGCGCCTGCTGAAGGCATACTTCAAAGATAGACCGAGGTGGAACGAGACTCATAGCAAACAGGAGCAACTAGCAAGCATATAACTCTGCTTCATGGGTGCTATGCTCTGCTCTGTATCCCACGAATGCTTTTATTGGTCTCACTCTCTTTCGTCGTACGTGATGCTAACAAGTCCGTGGTCACGAACCGACTTGAGGACAACCGCATGTGCAGACCGTGTAGCCGCTACTGCGCTGGCGTTGGCAAGCGTACGTATCCCGTGGACAAGCTTTCCATTGGATGATAAGGCAAGTGTGATGACGGGCACAGAGAGGGGACCATCAAAGCTTGGAGCTTTTATGGCTCGATGATAATATTCTCGTGAGCAGCTTAGGTGTCTTGCTTAGCCGTAGAAGTACTATTGAGTAATAATGGAGGGGGGATGTGCAAGAAGCTGATTGTCAATATATTTGGAGTGTTGCACATGCTGTTGGCTGTGCTGCTTCACATGCATACAAAGCATCGATCGGCTGTGCCGATTGCCGTGGCCAATACCAAGAGATCAGACTGTTAGCAAGAGTGCGGGGGACGTGTTAGGCGATACAACCTTTGTGTCTAGTGGACCTTCGCGGGACTCGCGTATCATGTTGGAGCGACGCACGATTCACAACGGCATCTATATCATTCGTGAGACCCTGGCATCTCGATGAAGGAGATGCCGTTGAAACGGCTCACTCCGCTTGACATCTTAGGACATCTCTACAACCATGAAGAGCCCCCCCACTTGCCTGCTTTCCGATCGAAAAGCGTTTCTGTATTTGATACAACCGCACCGCCCATGTAATTGCACAAGCGCTAAGCAAAACGAACACGGATCACTGCCGGAAGCAAGAAGGCTCTACGACCTTTTCGTAAAGCAATACAAAGTCATCGCGAGGAGACCCTCACCAAGTCTGGTCTATGCGGTGCATGGTGGTCTTGATAGCACGTGCTGGGGAACGACGTTGCGAATTCGGGGATATGCTGAGCTGCAAGGACAACCGTCACGAACTGGACCGATGGACTACATTAGAAGCCTCGACGGGACCACGACGACATTGTTCGAGCGGAGGTGTAATGCTTGCACGAAATAAGGGGGTGACAAGCCAACGTAAGGCTTGAATGACAAATGCGGCAAAAGGAACCGTCGATACGAACGATACTTTGTTGTCTTGTCTACCGACTTGACGACGATCCTTTCTGCTCTTCCACGAGCTACATGTACGTATGTTTCTGGCTCGTGCATCAACAATGTTTCGGAAACACGCATGAACTACTCTGAAACACGCATGAACTACTCGTTATGGGGCTGCCCTGCTTTCGCGACTGAGCATTTCGGCAAAACGCCTTTTGCGGCGAGATCCTCGATGATCGATTGCGCTGGGATAGCACCATTCAAGCAGCCACCGCAGTGGTGCATCGCGATGACAGTATGGTCCCTCGTGGCAAGGATCGGTGAGCCTGACGCTCCTTCTTGGGTATCGATGTAGTAGCCCACGTCGCCTTCGCGGCATTCAGTGACCGTGAGCGATTCGACACGTCCCGGCTGACCATTATATAGCCATGCAATGCGTTTGCCATAGCCGAGAGGATGCTGGGGAATGTAAATGCTTTCCTTCAGCACTGCTCCCGATGCACGTAGCTGTAGATATCCACCCGTCTTCTCATACAATCCAGACAAATTCGTGACAGTGTCGTTGGTACCGATTCGAACCACCGCATAGTCCAATTCTTCCGACGCAGCCACAAGCGTTGTAGACGTCACGCCGATGGGTCCCGGACATGCACCACGAGAGTCACAAGCTTCACCGCCTCCGCAACTCGTCGACTGAGCAAGAAACTCGACCTTCGTATTGAGCGCATCTTGGTTGTTGCTGATGCAGTGCTGATTCGTGATCAAGTGACCCTCGCAACCAAGTAGCCAGCCCGTGCAGTAGGCGATTACCATGCCGTTATCCTTGATTATCGACAGTCGTGCCACCGGTCGTGACTTGGCCAGCATGATCTCTCCCTCAGCACTGTTGGTAGCATTCGGCGCACAAGCAGCTTCAACGGATTCATCCGCGCCACAGAGACTTTCATTGTTGACATGATCGTTGTCATCGGTGTCGGTCATGCTGGTGAGGTTGGTTAGTGGCACCTCGACAGCTACTTGCAAATGTTGAGCCTCATCTACGAGTGCTTGGGGAGTAAAAAGAAACCGACTAATAGTGAAGCCTCGACACGAAGTCGAGCGAGATTGACCAGGCACTGGAGTCTTGAAAAGCTCTAGCACGACTCCGTTTCCAGATATCGCGGTCGAATAAAATGCACCCGTTGCGTTCTTTCCCGACAGCACTGCCACCGGTGGTTTGGTCTCTGTACCGTCGGAAGCTCTCAGTACGAGCACATCGGATTCAGGGAGATTGAAGTGCGCGAAATACAGCACGTAGATGCCCTTCCCAAGCCCAGGGTCAAGTTGTAGACGATAGGAAGGCTCGCTTGCAGTCGCTTTCGGCAATGTCGAGTAGTTGGAGAAGGCGCACCCCGCGCCGATTAGGATTTCCACTTCCTGGCCTGTTGCTTTCGCGACAATACCCACAGTTGCAAGGCTGGTCAGGAGAATGAGAAAAAGCCACTGCATCTTGTATCGACGGGTGTCTGGAGCAAACAGGTCAAAAAGTGTTGTGACGCTGTGTTCTTGCTTGTCTTTATCATGCCAGCTGTCATGGACGCATGGATACGTTTCTCGTATCACGACAAGTGATCGAAAGAGACGCTCGTCGTCTTCAAGAATGAGGTGGTACGATGTGCTTGCACTTCCAAATGCTCTACAACGGATGGTTTCGACTCGAGCAGTCAAGAAAGTTGCCAGATTGTGTGCGACTGCACATACGGATGGACCGCTTCACGATTGACCTTTGTCTGCAAGACAGTGGAGTTGATGGACATGTCGTGACGGAAGGAAGCGTGATGAAAGCTGCTAGTGAATGAAGCGCGATGTGACGCACAATTTGGTCGTCTCACAAGCCGGGGAAGGGTGGGTACGCATCTGTTCAGCGCACATAAGTTGCGGTATTCAGGACGTCCAGCGCCAACGAATGGATCCGACGAGTCGCAGACGGCCTCCGCCGATGACCTCCGCTACCTAGTGGTGTGCATGACTGATGCAGCTCAACCACATGGACCACCAGCCCCGCCTCGGTATGATGGCCGCTTCGTTGACAAAGCGCTGACACGTTGTGGTACCCCTGCCGTCCGCAGTCCGCATCAAGGATGGATGGATGATTGAAATGTGGTGTCAGCGACCCTGATTGCACGGAACTTCCTTCGTCAAAGTACACAAGTCTCCTGGGTCGTATCGACGACAAAATCGATCGCGTCGCTGCGTAAGAACAATTCATGATCTCGTGGAAACCTCGTTGCTGAGAGTGCTGACCCTCGTCAGCCTGGTAAGGTGCACGTTATCGAACGGTCTTTCGTGGCACTCAACGTCACATAAACGCCAGATGCTCGACCCTTTCCACGGTTGGAGCGTCACAACGACGACTTGACACGGCTCGGGTGTTGCCATCGCACGATTTGCAGCTCCACAAGGCGCGTGGCTGCAGCTAGACGGGCGCGGGTCGTAACGCGACTCCGTTGCGGTCGATCGCTACGTGTTTTGCGAGTAGTTATCGGAGGTGCCTGATAGTGAACTGCGGTGACCAGGTCCCGTTGCCGCTCTGCGGCGAACACGAGCGCCCATCTGAACAGTTGACGGATCAAAGGGGAATTTATCGTAGGGAATACGATACCACGCACACCGTGCCAACCGTGCTTTTTAGTCCTACCAAAACACCTGGCAGGTCGAGTGGAGTATCTGTCACACATGCCGAAAAAATTGTCCTCGATGGCCACGTTATTTCCGATGTGGGGGCACCTTTCTGTGAGCTGACGAAAGATGGAAGTCATCAACAAATGCTGTGTTGGGCTACGCCTTTCGGCTGTCCACTCCCGAAGAAAACCGGACAGGAGCTTGGAGTTTAGCCATATACATTAGATGGCGACCCTGGGTGATGATATATACGAGTGTGTTCAAGAGTGTTGCGATGCATGCAACGCGCGACTTGATATGTTGCTACCGTCGGAAGGATCCATGTTGATGAGAGAAGCTTCTTTACTGTTACACCGCTTGTTCTACCAAGGTTGAAGCTCCTCAGACGCCAAGATGAACGCGTAGCGCCTAGCCGTGCGACCCTGACACATTTACAGCACAGATACTCTCGGCATTGGATGCGGTCAGCCTGAAAGACTGCTGGTCGTTTAGCACGCACTTCTTGCCCTGTCCACGATTTTGTTTAGGGTGTACTTTATCGCACCAAGGAGGTTTGACAAAGGTTGAAGAACTACTTCAATTGGTGCTCGTCAATGTGATGGGCGAAACGAAATTTGGACATCGTGGACAATAAGAGTGACACAGCTTCGGGCACGATGGCGTGAAGCATCAGTAAATGCATAGCACATCTACCCCGTACAAATGAAATAGCGCAAGACGCATCTCACGCATCGCTCCCTAATAATGTATATTGGATGTGGACTTCGCCCGGCCACGAACGTATCTGCTATCAATCTGCTGAAGGGTTGCTCCGTGATGATGTCGTATCGATACTGTGCGCCTGCTGAAGGCATTACCTTAAAAGATAGACCGAGTGTGGAACGAGACTCATAAACAGGGGAGCAACCACCAGCAGCATATAACTCTGCTTCATGGGTGCTGCTATGCTCTGCTCTGTAGCTCCACGAATGCTTTTATTGGTCTCACTCTCTTTCGTCGCACGTGATGCTAACAAGTCCGTGGTCACGAACCGAACTTGAGGACAACCGCATGTGCAGACCGTGTAGCCGCTACTGCGCTGGCGTTGGCAAGCGTACGTATCCCGTGGACAAGCTTTCCATTGGATGATAAGGCAAGTGTGATGACGGGCACAGAGAGGGGACCATCAAAGCTTGGAGCTTTTTATGGCTCGATGATAATATTCTCGTGAGCAGCTTAGGTGT